CACACGCACCAATTCTGTCCTTGTTATGTCTACAAAGCAACTACAATCAAACAAAGCACTTCAAAGTGGAACTTGAAGATTCCATTCCACAAATACTCTCCATAGCAAGCACTGGAAAACAATATTTTGCAACTACCACATTCTCCCACTGAAATCTAAGTATGCAAGAACATGGTCTGCAGTGTAGAAGGGAACGTTTACTTTAGAGGGGAGTTAATCATGGCTTACCGGCAGAATTCTATTCCAAATGTAGCATTAAAATTTTGGCTATGCAAAGTACAATTGGACAATGTCATGTTCCACAGAGTGCCTTACATTGGCATGAGAAGGCCTCCTTGTGAAGCCTCCTTACTGTGTAACGTGAGGCTTTACTGCGATAGGTATAAGGGTTGAGGAATCTTTTCAATAAACTGATGGTTTTGTTCTAGCATTCCCCATAGATTATCTGTTCGTGGATCTCATATGAAGGATTCCTGATAAGGAAGGCTATCTGAAGCGAAGGAGTCAGAAGTTTGTGAGAGATGAGTAATGCTAGGCCATGACAAATTCTTTCATCCTTGGGATATTGATACAGAGATAATAGGCGCAGGGACAGCCTTTCAGTCCTTTTAGTATTCCCTGCTTTTTATTATAATTATTACTGATCATCCCATTCAACAGCCTTTTCTTGCTTTTTCTCCACATCCTTATATACCTTTAGCCCCAAATGCTATACTGAACTTCTTGAAATCACACAATGTTTTGGCCTTGATGCTTTCTGTGATAGCAAATTCCATAGGCTCACCACTGTCTAGGTGAGGAAATTTCTCCTCATCTTAGCCTTAAATGGTTTAGCGTGAATTCTTAGACTTGGACTCCTGGTTCTTGGTCTCCACTGCCATTGGGAACTTCCTTCGTACTTCTCCCCCATCTAGTCCTGTTACAATTTTATCGTTTTCTGTGAGATCGCCCTTCATTCTTCTGAATTCCAGCAAATATATTCCTGATTCAACCTCTTCCTTATATGTCAGTCCTGCCATGCCAGGAATCAACTTGGGAAACCTTCACTGCATTCCCTCTATAGCAAGAACATCCTTCCTCAGATAAGGAGACCGAAACTGGACACAATATTCCAGGTGTGGTCTCACCAAGGCCCTGTAAATTTCAACAAGACATCCCTGCTCATGTAGAATCATAGAATCGTAGAGTCTCTACAGTGTGGAAACAGGCCCTTCGGCCCAACAAGTCCACACTGAATCTCAGAGCATCCCACCCAGACCCATCCCCTATAACCCACCTAATCTACACATCCCTAAACACTACGGGCAATTTAGCATGGCCAATCCACCTAACTTGCACATCTTTCGACTGTGGGAGGAAACCTGAGCACCCGGAGGAAACCCACGCAGACACGGGGAGAATGTGCAAACTCCACACAGACAGTCGCACGAGGCTGGAATCGAACCCTGGTCCCTGGCGCTGTGAGGCAGCAGTGCTAACCACTGTGCCGCCCACTTGAATCCTCTCGCTATGATGGCCAGCAGACTATTTGCCTTCTTTACTGCCTGCTGGATGTGCATGCTTATCTACTGCAACTGGTGCACATGGACTCTTGCACATTCCCCCTCTCAATTTATAGCCATATCTTAAAAAGTTTGTTCATGTCTCACAAGATTTGATTTAACCAGGTTCAAAAGTGAAAAAGGAACAACAGTCATGATCCTGCAATTAGTCATGTTGTACGAACTGGTAAAGCTAGCATCTAGCACCAAAAATGACTTCAGAAACTACTTCATGACATATAATGGTGGTGGTAGAGAAAAGCAACTGAACTTTGCTATTGTTAGAAAAGAATACACAATGCAAGCAAAGAACTGTCAAGTCTTCCCTAGTGAGGCAGCGAACACCTAACATGAAGTGCTGATGCAGAGCTTGACTGTAAAGGAGAAAGCAGCACATAGTAGGAAGGCATCCATCGGGAGGGAGCTTAAAGATTTGCAAGTGAAGGAGGAAATCAGAGAGTCAGTGGAGAGCCAGTTAAGATGAATACAACTATGACAGACACTGTGGAAGACTGGCAGAACTCAGCGGCAGACTTGATTAAGAAAACAGGTGACGCAATATCTACAAGATAATCAGGGAGGATAAAAGCTCAGAGAGAAACTTGGTGATAGAATGAAAATATAGAAATTACAGTTAGGGAAAGGAAGAAACTGTTGAAGAGGTAAAAACAGTCAGACCTCAAAGAAGACAAAGAACAGCATTAGAAGGGAACAGCAAAGTAGAGAAAGTGATTGCTGGAGAAGGATTTCTGGCTAGTGAATGTCTAGATACCAAATATCAATGACCAATATGATATTCTTGCTACCAAAGGGAACAGAAAGAAAAAAAAGCTTCAGAAAACTAGTTACTGGAAGTAGGTTAACACAGGATGAGAGAAATATATGTCCAAAGAAGATTACAGGCTGAGCAACCTCAGTGTAAGAAGATAAAATTTTTCCACACTGTAGGGATTCTATGATTCTAAAATCAAAGAGAGGTAGGGTCTATATTTAATTGACTGATGAATAAATTAAACAATGACCAAAGTGAGAAGAGGAAGCTACAAATGGTGGAATAACAGCTAGTATAGTAAAAGAAATCAAAACAGGTTTGAAAAATGGCAAAATAGTGTCTAGAACCATAGAAACATTACTGTACAGAATTCCCTTGCTTTGTTTACCCTGGCCAAATGCTTAATCTAGATTGAATTCCATTTACCACTTCTCCACCCATTCATCGAAACCACTGACATCATCCCGCAGTCAACATGCGTCCTTTTCACAATCAACTATCTGGCTGATATATGTGCAATGTACTAATTTCCCAATCGTGCCTTCAACACGTAAGTCTAAAGCCTAAATATAGATCACATCAGCAAGTTGCCAACACTGAACCATGTGAAACATCAGTGAAAACCACTTTCCATTACAAAAACATCGCTTTGTTCCGTCACTGAACCAACTTTGAATCCAACGTACCGCATTCCCTTGTATTCATGGGTTTTAATTTTTTGGACCAATCTATCATTTGGGACCTTGTGAAATTATTTACTTAACCCATGTAGCTATCATCTTCTGCACTATCCTCAACAATCCTCCCTGTTACTTTCTGAAATAAATGCAATAGCAAGGCGTGATCTTTCCTTAACAAAACCATGCTATATATACCTGGTTAATCTATGCATTTCCAAGTAACAGTTAATTGCAACTCCCATGATTTGGACAAGAATTTAGGAGACATGGTTAGTAAGTTTGGGATGACACCAAAATTGGTGGTATCAACGATAATGAAGAATGTTATATAAGATTATAAAGAGATCTTGATCAATTGGGCCAATGGGCTGAGGAGTGGCAGATGGAGTTAATTTGGATAAATGCAAGATATTACATTTCAGTAAAACAAACAAGAGCAGGGCCATGGGTATTGTTATTGAACAGACAGACCTAGGGCTTCAGGTACATCGTTCTTTGAAAGATGTGTTAAAGGTAGACAGAGTGGTTGAGAAAACATTTAACATGCTTGCCTTCATTGCTCAGACCATTGAGTATAGGAGATGTGATGTCATACAGGATGTTGGTGAGGCCACTTTTGTAGTACTGTGTACAATTCTGCTCACCCTGCTATAGGAAGGATATTATTAAATTGGAGAGGGTTCAGAAAAAAATTACAAGGTTGTTGGAGGGTTTGAGTTATGAGGAGAGGTTGGATAGGCTGGGACGTTTTTCCACTGGAGCATAGGAGGTTGAGAGGCGACCTTATAAGAGGTTTAGAAAGTCATGAAGGGCATAGATAAGGTGAATAGCAGAAGTATTATCCTTAGAGCAGGGAAATTCAAAACTAGGTGGCATATTTTTAAGGTGAGAGGAGAAAGAAGGGACCTGAGGAGCAACTTTTTCACATAGAGGTTGGTTCGTACATGGTATAAACTGCCAGAGGAAGTGGTAGATGCAGGTACAGTTACAACATTTAAAAGACATTTGGACACGTAAATGAATAGGAAAGATTTAGAGGGATACGGGCCAAACACAGGCCAAATGGGACTAGTTTAGTTTAGGAAACTTGGTCGGTATGGACAAGTTGCTCCAAAAGGTCTGTTGTTGTATGACTCTATGACTCCGAGTCCTGCGTTGCCTCATAGTTTTCCTATTATCTTATGTACCTGAAGTTAGATTTCTTACCCCTTCCATACTGTCTGTTCTATTACTTGTTCTGGAAACTTTAATAACCTCTGCTGAACACCACCCCCACCAACATTTAACTATTTTGAAGTCCTGTGACCACCCTATTTAGCCATTCCACAAGGACCTATTAGTTGCAGAGCAGGCAATCCCAAAACTGTTGCTGGAAAAGCTCAGCAGGTCTAGCAGCATCTATGAAGGAAAAAACAGAGTTAACGTTTCGGGTCCGGTTACCCTTCCTCAGAAGTCACCGGACTCGAAACATTAACTCTGTTTTTTCCTTCACAGATGCTACCAGACCCGCTGAGCTTTTCCAGCAACTTTGTTTTTGTTCCTGATTTATAGCATCCACAGTTCTTTCGGTTTTTAATCCCAAAACTGTATTTGGATGTATAAAAAATTCTGATAGCAGGCCTGTCTGCAATGTTGTGGCTGTTAGGCAAGATGCAGCTGATCAAATGCCTAAATCATGCACTGTTTATAAAGCACATGCCACGTCTGCATTAAATAGCATATAATGAAGCTGCAAGACTATGTTCTATTGTACTGCAGCATTGCTATAAATGTTCATATGGTGGTGCTGTGTTTGTTTCCTTGCAGTAGCAATACAAAATCAAATCAAATCAGCATAAGGACCTGTTTAAGAGGAACCAAATTTAAATGGGCCTTTCACTGTTAAACAGACTTTCTCTTTCGCTTCTTCTACATTCTACAAGTGAAAGAACCATGTTCTATTAGCGTGGTCATAACTACCTAGTTCCCAAACTTGACCATCAAAAATTTATAAAAGGGTCTTCTTACCATTGAGTCATCATCATTCTTCAAGTCTGCTGGCTCCATTGTTTGCTCTTTTGTCTCCTGTGTAGCAGTAAGTGCAGGCAGGCCTGTTGCTAAAAGATATAACAATTTGTCAGCCTGACTTTCACGTCATAATATATAATGGTTAGGTTTCTTTCAGTTTCGGGAATGTTAGTGCACTGCTTAAACAAACATGTAAACAAACACGATTCTGCTTGCAAAAACGAAATTGAATTGAACAGACTCCACAATCAGTTATTATCAAATCATAAGCTAACAAATTATGTTCCCACAAAACTAATCCTAAAACAAGACTGCACCTTAAAGAGATTTTTCTTCTGAAAGTGGCTAGACTGAGAAAGAATAAAGCAGAATGGACTACCCCATGAAGTTATGCTGACAAAACATTCAGGTTGGATAAACACAGAAACACAGAAATCAAGGATAGTAGCACATTCAGCCCTTCCAGCTTGCTCCACCAATCATCAAGATTATGGCTGGTCATATAATTCAAAGACTATCCCCACATTTCCCCCATATCCTTTGATCCCTTTAGCCCCAAGTGCTATATCCAACTTCTTCTTGAAATCAGAAAATGTTTTGGCCTTGGTTGCTTTCCGTGGTAGCAAATTCCATAGACTGACCATTCTCTGGGTAAAGAAATTTCCCTTCATCTCAGTCTTAAATGGTTTATTCCAAATCCTTAAACTGAGAGCCCTGGTTCTGGGACTCCCCGGCTATTGGGAACATCATTCTTGCATCTACCCTGTATAGTCCAGTTTCAATTTTATAAGTTTCTATGAGATTCCCCTTCATTCTTCTGAACTCCAGTGAATATATTCCTAACCAATTCAACCTCACCTCATATGTCAGTCCTGCCATCCCAGGGATCAACTTGGTAAACCTTTGCTGCACTCCTATAGCAAGAACATCCTTCCTTGGGTAAGGAGACCAAAACTGCACACAATATTCCAGGTGTGGTCTCACCAAGGCCCTGTATCATTTCAGCAAGACATTTCTCCTCCTGTACTTGAATCCTCTTGCTATGAAGGCCAACACACCATTGGCCTTCTTTACTGCCTGCTGCACCTGCACAGTTACCTTCAGTGACTGGTGAACAAGAACACCAGGTCTCACTGCACATTCCCTCTGTCTCAACTTATGGCCATTGAGATAATAATCTGCCTTCCTGTCTTTGCTATCAAAGTGGATAATCTCTCATTTATCTACATAATACTTCATCTGCCATGCAATTGCCCACTGACTCACCTTGTCCAAATCACACTGAAGCATTTCTGCATCCTCCTCACAGATTGCCCTCCTACTCAGGTTTCTGTCATTTGTAAATCTGAACATACTACTTTTAGTTCCCTCATCTAAATCATTAACGGACTCCAGCATTATCTCTACTACTGACGTCAGGCTTACTGGTCTATAGTTCCGGTTTTCTCTCTGCATCCCTTTTTAAATAGAGGAGTTACATTAGCTACTCTCCAATCAGTTGGAATTGTTCCAGAGCCTACAGAATGTTGAAAGGTGACCATCAGTACATCAACTATTTCTAGGCACAATTCCTGGGAGCTAATGCTATGTCTAATTTCCTTCGTAAGCTATGGTTTTGCCACCTTTCCCTTTTTAGTTTTATGCCAGACAGTAATCAAGAATTCTTGAAGTTCACCCATGTGCTCTTTGAAAGTTGCTATCTCCTTTCCACTGTCATCCCTTTAAGTAATGTTCCTCAATCTATTTTAGCCAACTCACACCTCATACCATCATAGTTTCTTTTATTTAGAATCAGGACTTTAATCTCAGAATGAACTATGTCATTCACCATCTTGATTCTGTAATATTATGGGGCCTTGCGCAACTACATTGTTGATTATTCCTTTCTCATTTCACAATACCGAGTCTAGGATGGTCTGTTCTGTGTTGGTTCCTCAATGTATTGGTCCAGAAAACTATTGCATATACAGGAATTCCTCCTCTAGATTATTGTTACTAAATTGATTTGCCCAATCTAATGCAGATTAAAGTCACACATAATTACAGATGTTCCTTTGTTGCATGTATCTCTAATTTCCTGATTAATGCCAAACATTACCCTACAGTTTGGGAGTCTATATACAATCTCCACTAATACCTTTTACCCATTGGTGTTTCTCAGCTCTACCTGTACAGATTCCATATCATCAGAGTGAATATCCTTCTTTACTACTGCGTTAATGTCATCCTTAACCAGCAATGCAACTATACTGTCTTTTCCTTTTTGTCTGTCCTTCCTAAATACTAGATATTCAGTTCCCATCTCTGGTCACTCAGCAGCCATGCCATCATAATGCAGAGTATATCATATCTGTTTTTATCTATTTGCATGATCAATTCATCCACTTTATTGCAAATGCTCTATGCATTAAGGCACAAATTTTACGGTGTCCCTTTTTAACTTTTATTGTTCCATTCCCATTATTTTTCACTGTGGTACTGTTTGATCCTGGCCCTTGATTTCTCCGCCCATCACTTTTCTTATTCCCTTTCTGCCTTTTGTTCTTGTCCTTTATTCCCCTTGCTCTGACTCCTTGTATAGGTTCCCATCTCCCTGCAGTTTTAGTTCAAAATCTTCCCAACGACACAAGCAAATACTCCCTCTAGGAGATCAAGCCTGATCCTGCCCAGGTGTAACCCATTCAGTTTGTATCATCTCACCTCCCCCAGAACCGGTCCGAATGTCCTAGGAATCTGAAATCCTCCTCTTTGTGCCATTTTTTCAGCGATATACTCATCTGATTTATCTTGTTATTTCTATTCTGACCAGCACACAGCGCTGGTAGTAATCCTCAGATCACTACTTTTGAGTTCCTGCCTTTTAACTTACTTCCTAACTCCCTAAATTCTGCTTTTAGGACCACAACCTTTTTTTCTTTTACCCTATGTTATTGTTACCAATGTGTACCATGTTCTACAGCTACTCTGAGACATCCTTGACCCTAGTACCAGGAAGGCAACATACCATCCAGGAGTCTTGTTTGTACCCACAGAAACGCCTGTCTATCTCCCTTACTGCAGTATCCCCACAGTTTTTACTCTTCCTCTGTGCAGCAGAGCCAGCACCAGCGCAAAGAATTTGGCTGTTGTTGCTTTACTGAGAGGCCATTCCCCTCAACAGTATCCAAAACGGATATCTGTTGCACATATTGTGCATGTTATTCATCACGTACTATGATACCAGACCTGCCGAGTTTCTCCAGCATTTTATGTGTTTGTTTCAGATTTCCAGTATTCCTAGTATTTTGCTTTTATAGACACATAGGTTGCTGACAGGATTTTGACAAAGTGGAGAGGAGTTTCTCCTTGAAGGACAGCCTCAGATTCGGGGACACAGTTAATCTTAGAATATTCTGAAGGTGGAGATGGATAGATTGTTAACTAGAAAAGGGACTTAAAGATTGTCAGAAGTAGGTGGAATTGAGACCACAATCAAATCAGCTATAACCTTTCTGAAAGACAATGCAGGTTTAAATCTTCTTTTCCTCATTTGTTAGTACAATGTGGGACTTCCTGCCACTTGGGGTCAAAGATCTGCAGGTCAAGAACTGACTTGTTCAGTCACATGAAGATCCACAGAGGAACTCATGACCCTGACTAGCTATCATCCTTGAACTGAGAGACAGTATGCGATGACGATACTTAATGTGCCATGATTTGTCACCAGTGCATAATTTTTGGCAGAGACAATAAAACTGAATGAGCACATTAATATAATGTTGTGCTAAGAATCATCAGTACAGCCAACTACTTACTGTTTGTTGACATTTCTCCTTTTGTCTGTATTGGCGTTCCTATCAAATATTGAAACAAAAAGATTAGAGCTTTTTCATAGTTATGGGTTGCCCGAAAGTGCCTTCAAGTTACATTTTAGTACTTTTGAATTTATTGATAATAGCAAAGTAAGCAAGTTGGCCTTTTAGCACGTAGAGTAGTCTGGCCAATTCTAAACATTGCTCAATATCATTCAGTCACAATCATTCAGTCTGTATGACACTGCGGTAGAGTGAGACAAAGACTAAGTGAATTACTGACTATACTGTTCAAAAATTTAAAATTTAACAAAAAAGTTAAAATTTAGTTCAAAAAGTGGAAACTCGATGCAAAACTGGGACGGTGGCGCTTTATTTGAGGTTTACTGCAAGAAACTAAATCAAGAAGTCAGTGGGAGACGATAAAAGACATGAATTGAAAGGCCAACTCACAGGAAGACCAGTGGGAGCGTGTGGTCACAAACCACACTGTGACATGAATGGAGGGAAATAAACTGATTAAATATTAGATTCATACTGGAATTTCTAAAATCTTTTTAGTTTATAAATAAGAAATATTATTACAATGAAGTATAAAGAGCAGGGAATCTTGAGTAATTCGTTTATAAGTTAAAGTAAATACGATAGAGACAGCAGGGTGGGTAATATGTAGCTGCTGCAACATGTGGAAGCTGATGGACACCAAAGTGATCCAGAGCAATCAGATCTGGAAAAAGGTTGGCAGTTCACAGAACATTGCATGAGTCAAGAAACTGGAGTCTCAGCTGCAGGCATTGCGTCAGGGAAGGGGAAAGTCACCAAGACAATTTGCTTCAGAGGGCGGTCATATGCTTCAGGTTAGGTAATTCCAAATTGGTCTAATGATCACGGACAGATGGCTGTGACTGCACGCAAGGCAGGTATGAAGACCATGAGTGTTAAAATTCAGGAGACTTGGTCCTGGCAATTCTCCAATAGTTACAAGTTTCTTGCAAACTGATAATCTAGACAGCAGGAACAAACTAACCTTGGCATCTTGGTGCAGGGTGACATTCAAATGAGAGGAGGAAATAGGAATTTGGTTGTGGTAGGGTGCAGTATACTAAAGGGATAGACACTGTTCTCTGCCGCCATCAGCAAGAGGTTTGAAGTCTGTTTTGCCTGCCTGATGCCGAGATTAAAGGACATTGTCTCAGACTAACAAAGAAATTGGGAAGAGGGAAGGCAAGTTCCAGGAGCCCTCATCCACGCTGGAACCAACAACATTGGTAAGACTGGAAAGGACGCTTTGCTGGAAGATTTTAAACAGTTAGGAGCTAAATCAATTCTGGATTACTATCTGAGCCATGGGTAAACTGGCATAAGATGAATAAAGTAATGGAGTTATGCTGAGGTTGTACAAGATGTTGGTGAGGCCTCTTCTGGTCGCCAAGTTATAGGGAGGATATTATTAAGTTGGAGAGGGTTCCGAATGGATTTACCAGGATGTTGCCAGGACTGGAGGGTTTGAGTTATAAGGAGAGGCTGGGTAGCTGGGACTTTTTTCACTGGAGAGTAGGAGATTGAGGGGTGACCTTTATAGAGGTTTATAAAATCATGAGGGGTATAGATAAGGTGAATGACAGGTGTCTTTTCCCTAGGGTGGGGGATTTCAAGACTAGAAGGCATTTTTTTAAGGTGAGAGGAGAAAGATTTAAAAAGGACATGATGGATTTTTTTTTAAAACACATAGTGGTTTGCATGTGGAATGAACTTCCAGAGGAAGTGGTGGATACGGGTACAGTTACAATGTTTAAAAGATATTTAGATAAGTACATGAGTAAGAAATCTTTGGAGGAATATGGGCTAAGAACAGGCAGATGGGACTAGTTGATTATGGTTGGCATGGACAGATTAGACTGAAGGGTCTGTTTCTGTGCTGAATGACTCTGTAATTCTAAATGTATGGCTCAAAGATTAATGTGGGTGGAATGGACTTCACTTCATGGAGCACTGGCACTAGTACTGGGGTAAAAAGGAGCTGTTCTGGTGGGATGGGCTTCACTTGTACCACTCTGAGACTAGCGGGAAAAATTGTATAAATACAAAATTAATTACTCTTTCTTTGAATGTGTGTACTATTTGGAACAAAATACATGCATTAATGACACAAATACAGGTTTCAGAGACATGGTTACAAAATCGCAGTAGGAAACTAAATATTCAGGGGTTATGATAAGGTTCAAAAGGACATTCAAGAACGGTGGGAGAGTAGCACTGTTGGTGCAGGATAGAATAAATACGATTGGAAAAAATTGAGTAAATCCATATGAATAGAGATAAGAAATAAAAAGGGAAATAAAACATCGATAGCAATAGTCAACAGGTCCCTTACCAGTCACTATCCAGTGAGATAGCGAATAAATCAGGAGATAATGAAGTGATATAATAAAGGCAATACATTGATCCTGGGCGATGTTAATCTCCATGTGGATTGGAACAGTTCGATTGGTCGAGGAGGCAATGAGGAAGAATTCATAAGAGTGCATTCAGGACAGTTTCCTAAAACAATGTGGTGGATCTAACCAAGGATTATGCTCTTTTGGATCTGGTCTTTTGTACTGATGTAGATTTAATAAATGATGTCAGAGTAAAAGGTCCCCCCAGAAACAATGACTAAAATAAGGTAGAATTTAGCATTCTGTTTGGGGGGAGGAACTTGTGTCAAAAACAACCATACTAAGCTTAAATGGGAGCAATTGTAAAGGAATGAGGGCAGAGCTGGCTGGATGGGAATTGGAAAGGAGTTTAGCAGCAAATACAGTTGAGGAACAATGATATGCTTTTAAGAAACTAGTCTTGGCTCATTGTAAATACATATTCCACTGAGGAAGGAGGATTCTAGGAAGGTGCCAAGTTAATCAGGTTTAACAAAGGTAGTTAAGGTTAGCATGAAATTGAAAGAAAAATCAGAAAATGTGGCTAAGATTAGTGGTGAGCCAGAGGATTGGGAAAGTTCTAAAAATCCAACAAAGAAAAATCAAAAAACGACAGAAAATAAGCTTTAAGGGTAAACTTATAAGTAATATCAAGATGGACAGAATAAGCTTCTTTAAATATATAAAAAGGAAGAGAGAAGGAGGCTGCGGAAATAATAATGGGGAACCAGGATTAATTCATTAGCGAGCTGTTTTTTTAAAAAAAATATTTTATTCAGTTTGTTAAAACATAAAAGAGATCTGATAATTGAACATTTGTACCTTACCTGTAAGGACTAGCATGAAGTTGTCATAGTCACCGGACTATAAGGCTACTGTCTCATTAGAGGGAGAAGGCTGGTGATTGTTTAACCTGAGGGACATCATGCCTCAGGCGAAGGGAGAGGTCGAGAAGGAAAGTCCTTCATTGTAACTTCAACCAGTGCAGGAGTTAAAGCCATGCTGTTGGCTCTGCATTGCAAACCAGCTGTCCAGCCAAGTGAGTTAACTAACTCCTTACTAAAGTACTAGCATTATACTAAAGTACATACAAGATAAAATGAATGGTATAAATGTGAATTTATAGTTTACTCATGCTTGGAATCCTGTATCTAGAAACCCATATTATGAACATGTACATTTGGCAGGTTAGTAACAGGCTCAGGATTATGAATAGAACTCCACTCCTAATTGACAGTTATTACAATTATGGAATACTTTAGCATGAAGGGCTACCTCAGTTCAAAAACAGAAAATTTAAAAAGTAAATAAGCATTTGCAAATGAAGAATAAAAAATGATAAAGTGATGTCAAAAAGCAGAGAAATAAGATTAGATAAAGTTGAAAAGGGTTTGAATGGGATGAATGGTCTTTTCCATTGTAATCTATGGTCAATGGAACCATTTGGTAATAGGTGACCAACATATATTTACTGAATACTTCAAAAAAGACTACTTCTATACAATTATAAAAACTATTATTTTCCGTTCCATTTGTACTGTACCTTGTTGGAAAAATGACAACAGCAACTGCATGACATCGGCTACAGGTTTGCCCAGATAACCAGCCAGTTGATGGTGATCCTCCCAGAGTTTTTCAACAGGACAATTTTTAAGCTCCTTTAATGATTTACGATCTGCTCCTAGGCTTACAAGGACTTCTGTGATTCTGTCCCACTCAATGGCAAATTCAGGTTCTTCAATTCCGGTGTTCAGAGTTTCAAACAGAAGCTTGTTTCGAAAGTTCCAAAGACGCAATACAGATGCACTTTTGCTGTGATCATTTGCCAATGGTTCAGCGTCCCATCCACCGCGTGGTGCAGGAAGGATCTTTAGGTGTCTAATAAGTGATGCCAGTAACGTGATGTCGAATCTCTTGGAGTCGGGCTGTTCATTGTTAGGTGGGTAAAGTAAGCTCCATTCACCGGAGTTAAGCACAGACCGAGATGAACCCTTGTGATAAGGCTCCAGAATGCGTTTATTTTTCAGTAATTCCCTCTTCAGTATCTGAGGTGGTACAGCCCGATCAAATATCTGCAAAAGGACCTCAGTTCCCTTTATTATTAGTAGATGAAGGAGACGGTAAAATAAGGAATAATCCATGTTCTGAGAAAGAGGATCCGCAGGCAATATAGTTCCAAAATTAGGGACATGGCCTTTGTCTAAATATCAGGAAGCATCACATTAGTGGAAGAATAATCAGCTTATCGTTATTTTATATCATACATGTAAGTAACATAGTTATAACTTTATGATTCCACAAAGGTCATATACAAAAGAAAGTTAACGAAGAAATCTTTCATTTTCAGTTAATCTCTACCTTTGAATACACAAGTAGAATACAAAATGTATCTATGGAAACTAAGCCAACTTTCAGCAAAACTAGTACATTGTTTATTTATTTACTCCTGTTAATTCCGCTTATAACCTACAGTAAGTTCAGATCAACAGACTAAAAACCCTTTCAATTACACTGATCGCGTTAAATGTGCTAGCTGTTCCATGATCAATATAGCGTAGAAGGTTTAGCCAACAACAGAGACTTGAAATGAATCTGGGAATTGCTTCCAGTTTGAATGACAGCAGTGTCCAATCGTTTCTGAATACAGTCTTACGTCTTCAACCTGTCTCCACTTGCATACCTTACTCTGCATCACACACTACCTCCAGCATCCACAGTATTTTGCAAGACTGCTGTTGTTATCTTCTGAGTAAATATAGAAAGAGGGCTTGCTGAAAAGCTGTCAGTGTGAGTAATGTATGTTTCATCACAGGAAACAAACTCATCCAAAGGTCACTTTCATGTTAAGTCATTCCTACTTGTTAAAAGGCCTGAAGTCTGCTACTGCAATTCTTTGCTTCAACTGTTGCTGCTCTCTGATTTAATCCAGACAGCCATTCTCTCATGGGTCCATGATGCTGGTACCAAACTACTGTCAGGGTCAGGGTCAGGAAGGGTCTCATGAGCTAATGCAAGTCCAACCTCTCTCCTCAGCCCTCCTCCAACCTGGAAATGTACCCTAGTCAAAAAGGTGGGGAATGGCAGAAAGTCTAGGTCATTCTGTTCATGGAAACAGAAACACATTTTCCTATTTTGAGAGTTCTAATTTGACAATCCTTGACTGTAGATAATGAGCTTTTGTAAGAGTACTTTATTAAAGCCTTTAACAAGGTTCCACATGGTAGTCTAATCTCCTTTAGGGAAGGAAACTGCAGTCCTCACCTGGTCTGGCCTACAAGTGACTCCAGACCCACTGCTATGTGGTTAACTCTTAACTGCCCTCTGGGCAATTACAGATGAGCAATAAATGCTGGCCTAGGGAGTGACCCCTCATCCCCTGAATGAATAAAATAAAGATTCAGGGTGAGCTCGCTAACTGGATACAAAGTTGACTTAACACCAGGAGACAGAGAGTGATGGTGGAGGATTGTTTCTTGGACTGGAGGCCTGTGACCAGCAGTGTTTCACAGGGATCGGTGCTGGGCCCTCTTCTGTTTGTCATTTATACATGATTTAGATGACAATAGAGAAAGCATGATTACTAAGTTTGCAGTGACATCAAAAATGGTGGTGTAGTGGACAATAAAGGAGGTTATCTAAGATTACAGAGGGATCTTGATCGATTTGGTCAATAAACTGAAGAGTGGCAGATGAGCTTAATTTGGATAAATGCAAGGTATTGCATTGTGGTAAAACAAACAAGGGCAGGGTTTATACGAATAAAAGTAGGGCCTTGGGTTCTGTAGTAGAACTGAGGGACCTAGGGGTGCAGGTACATAATTCTTTGAAATTTGCAACACAGGCAGACAAGGTGGTTAAGAAAGTGTTTAGCATGCTTGCTTTCATTTTTCGGACCTTTGAATAAATGAGTTGGGATGTTTTGTTGAGTCTGTACAAGACATTAGTGAAACCTCCTCTGGAGTACTATGTCCAGTTCTGATTGCCAGTTATAGGAAGGGTATCATTAAATTGGAGAGAGTTCAGAAGAGATTTACCAGGATGTTGCCAGGAATGGAAGGTTTAAGTTATAAAGAGAGTCTGGATAGACTGGGATTGTTTTCCCTGGAGTGTAGGAGTTGAAGGGTGACCTTATAGAGGTTTATAAAATCATGGGGGTATTGATAAGGTGAATGGCAGGTGCCTTTTCCCATGGGTGGCAGATTTCAAAACTAACAGGTATATTTTTAAGGTGAGAAGAGAAAGATTTAAAACGACGAGGGGCATTTTTGTTTCAAAACACAGAGAATGGTTTGTATGTGGAATGAATTTCCAGAGGTGATGGATGGGAGTACAGTTACAACGTTTAAAAGACATTTAGGTAAGTACATGGATAAGAAATGTTTGGAGGGATATGGGCCAAGCACAGGAGGGACTACTTTAGTTTGGGATTATTATTGGCATGGACTGGTTGGACCGAAGGGTCTGTTTTGGTGCTGTATGACTCTAAGAGATAAATTGGATAGGTGGAGTGACATAACTGGTGAAATCTTACCCCTCCGTTTCAATTTGAGATCACTCAACAGCCTCATTATGAATACACCACACCTCTATGGCACTGTGCTTACCAGCAGCAGAAGTATATGCTTCTGCCAGGACCTCCTGGGATTGGTCTTGCCTGTGCCAAATTTAATGCCCAGTTTGTGCACCAGGTCAATTGCTGCCAGCAATGAGGAGTCCTTCACAGTACATGTAGTGTGAGGAAAATAAAAAAGAAAAGCTTCAAAGGACATAGGTGGATTGGGAGAAACATCATTGGAAATAAAAACTCATATTTGTAAACGTATTGCTACTTTACATCATCACCGGTCTTATCAGCAGTGACTGCAGCTGCTAGAATCAAGTTAAAACGGCCCCCCATCCTTTGTGTCACACCATGTTAAAACCCTAAGGGTCAGCATGCTAAACCACACTTTTCTTAAAAGTCCAGTACAGCATAACATCTTGTTATTATTCAATGTGAGAGTATTACATGCTGGAAAGCCTTCAGACTGTTGTAAACGTCATTTTTTATTGAACACCAAGAAAGGCAAAGAAAAGAACAAACAGAAAAAAAGCTTCATTTGTTTCTGGGAGTGCACAGGAATTTGCCTTTCAAGAAACAGCAAATTTTCAGTCAATGAATGATCACTGCATCCCATTCAAATCTGTTGGAAGAGGGTGTCAACTAAGTTCTGAATGGCTTATTTGTCTGAAGCCGCAGTGCTCTATCATGATGAAGGTGACGTTCCTCCAGGTCAATGTCCTCATCTTCCTCCTAGGAAAACTGCTGCTGCTCTCCCAGCTCTTCAGCGACCATCACACCCACTCCTGTCTGCGCTAATTGCACAAAGCACAGCATTCAAGGATTATCTGGCAGACTCTGTCTAAACGATACTGCAAAGCTCCCACTCCCTCCACTGTTTCCTCTAATTTTCTCATCAACTACGCAGGCCACTGAGGCCCACGTGCAACAGTGACTTCCAAAAGTGTAGCTGCACAGCTTACAGGAAACATTTTGTCCGTCTAACCTGGACCAAACCAAGTGTTGGACCTTGCCTTCACAAGGCCTAAGATCAACTCAGGCAATGTATTTCACTGTTAACTGATCCTCTGGACAATTAGGGATGGGCATTAAATGCTAACCTAGCCAGCAATGCCCTTATCCGATGAAAGAATAAAATAAATGGTTCTGGTGGAAAATTGGTCTGGATTGTAGCTAAACATGCCCTCAGTTAGGGAGTTGTGCAATGGAGTCATCCACCATGGTTGCAAATGGAAACCCTTGTGTCCCAATAACCATCTTGTAAAGTCATGAAATGAAGCACAAATCTGAGAGTCCTCAAGGATATAAGCATCATGGCAAGGTGGTGCAGATCTCCAAGATGTCGTACTGATGATCACAGATGACTTGTAAACTGAAGGAATGGAACCTTTTCCTGTTAATGAAGTTAGCAGCATTACAATGTGATAGTCACAAAGCAGCGTGTGCACATTCTATAGTTCCCTGCACCTGGGCTAGGTCAGCTACGTTGGCAAAGCATACTCTCCAAGCTTTGACCTTGTCACAAAGAAATGAGATGAAGTGTGTGATCTGGTGCAAATTGCCTTGATACAGGTGTGGGTTGAGGATTAAGAGATCTCATGCAGGTCCACAGTAGATCCTTGAAAGCAGCTAAGTTCATGAATATTTAGCACAGTTGTCACCCTAGTGACCACCACTCCTTCAGGTCACAGATCCCACTCCAGAAAATGGCATACTTCTGTGACAGTATCCCAGGACATTCTCACTCTGTGGAAGCAACACATCTCACTCATCTGGAAGAAACCGCATCATGAATGACAGACTCTGCACCTCTTGTACCTCCTCTACATCAGGAAGGGATGTTCAGCTGCGGCTTCTTCATGTGGAGGCTATTTGGCTGCTGCTGGTCCTGGGCTTCCTGGCACATTTATTCTCCCCAACCTCTCTGCACCTGACTGCTCAGTGGTCACAGCGATGATCACACTTGCTGTGGTTGGATCCGTTGGTTTTGGCTCCAAGGAACCTGCATGGGGAATTTCAAAAGCAAAGTGGGTTATTAGTAATGTGAGCAGTCGGCATTAGCATCTCATGCAAATGATGGTTAGGCATGGCCCTCCATACCATCGCAACATGGAGGGTCCTGACAAGGAGAACCACGGAATGCCTCCCCATGGATCTTGGATATAATGGATTCTGTCAGAATCTATGCAGCACAAACCAAGCTGTGCAAATACAGTAGAAGATTGTAAATTCAAAAGTGATCACAGAAACATTGTGACATCATCCAAGAAAAGCTGTATTATATATTAGCAAATACTTACGGTTCATGGTGAGAAGAAATCAGCTCCATTCCAGCGTAGAGCCCAGGAGACCTTGGATTGGCTTTGTGAATTATGGCTCACAGATGACTCTTTTAATGGTGTTCACTTCACAGAGATGACTGTGGTCAGTTATTAATGACCAATCACATGGTCCAGATTGCTTGTGACCAGAATACATATTCCACACAGTTGAACACAGCACTTGTTTCCCATATATGGTGCTACAAACACAGATGTCTTCAAAGATACCAAAGAACTTCAGATGCTGGAAATCAGAAACAAAAACAGAAATTGCAGGAGAAACTCAGTAGGTCTGGCAGTATCTGTGAACAGAAAGCAAAGCTAATGTTTTAGGTCCACTGACCCCTCTTCAGAATGAGGATCAATTCTGAAAAAAGGGTCACCGGACCCAAAATGTTAAATCTGCTTTCTCTCCACAGATGCTGCCCGACCTGCTGTGTTTTTCCAGATGGCTTCAATCTATATGGAGTAAGTACCTAATTAATGCAATTGGCCCTTAATGGGCCTGACTTTGTTCACAAATAGAGCCTGTGTCCAGAGGCCTGTTGGAGCAAGCGGCGAGCTCACTTTCATATTGGGACTTGTTGCCATCCAATTTTTCTCCAGTGTGTAGGAAAATAGGAAATTGCATAAAAACGCTGAGATAATAATAAGATGGTAATGCATGAAAATAGGCCTCTCACCAGCTAGGGTGTTATCTCACTATTCAAATCTTGGGTGGTAAATTGGGACATTTTTTCTTGATGTTGAGTATCTCATCTTTCCAATCTCATGATATTTTCACACTGTCTTGCCATTGCCCAAATTCCCAATTCATCAGATTCCATCCCCAACCTGGGGATTCTCTGCTCAGGTAAAACAACCCCTGGTCTGAATCGCTGAATCACTCCTGCCCACGCAACATCCTGCTGAATCTCTTCTGTGCCCACTCTAGTGCAATCACATCCTTCCATTAGTGTTGCAACTAGAATTGCACACAGTAATCTAGCTGCGGCCTTACTAACATTATGCACAGGCCCACCACAACCTCCTTGCTCTTGTATTCATGCCTTGCCTAATAGAGGCAAGTATCCCATATGTCTTCCTAACCACCTTATTTCTGCCTTCAAGGACTTATGGACATGCACACCAAGGTTTCTCTGATCCTCTGTACTTTCGAGTGTGCCACCATTCAACATGTTAGTCTTCCAAAAATACATCACCTCACACAGGAATAAATTACATTTGCCATTGTTCGGCCCATCTATACTATACTGTAGTCGAAGGATTTCCTCCTTGCTCTTTACCAAACCAGCAATCTTCACATTATCTGCGAACTTACTGATCATATATTCATGTCTAGATCATTAACTTATACAACAAACGGCAAAGGACGCAGCACTGAACACTGTGGTATGCCATTGGACAGAGGCTCGCAGTTACAAAAACACCCTTAGACCATCACTCTCTATTTCCTGCAGTAAACTCATTTTGGATCCTATTTGACAAATTGCCCTGTATCCTATGGGCTCAACTTCCTAGCCAGTCTCCCATACAAGACCTTATCAAAAGCTTTACTGAAGTCCATGTAGACTTCATCAACTGCACTAGCCTCATCTACACACCTTGTCACCTGTGTGAAATACTTAATCACATCTGTAGACATGATCACCCCTTTACAAAGGTGATGGCCTAGAATATTATTGCTAAGCTATTAATCCAGAGACCCAGGTGATGATCTGGGGTCCTTGGTTTAAATCCTGCCATGGAAGATGATGGAATTTGAATTCAATAAAAATCTGGAATTAAGAGTCTAACGATAACCATCAAATATTTTCGATTGTCTGAAAAAACCCATCTAATACACTGATGTCTTTTAGGGATGGAAACGTAGCTGTCTTTACCTGGTCTGGACTACATATGACTCCAGACCCACAGCAATGTGGTTGACTCTTAGCTGCCCTCTGGGCAAGTAGGGATAGGCAATAAATACTAGCCCAACCAGTAATGCCCATATCTCTAGAATGAAAAAAAAAGCAATGCTGACTATCCTGATTAATCCTTACCTCTTCAAGTAGAGATTAATTCTGTTCCTCAGAATGTTTTGTAACAGCTTTCCTACCACAGATGTTAGACTCACTGGCCTGTAGCTTCCTGGTTTATCCCAGTCTTATATTAGACAATTACTTCAAGGAAAATCAGGCAACCACTTTGGAGGTGGCTTAGAATAGATTTACTTGATTGATATCTTGAATGAACAGGCTGTTGTATGAAGATAGGCTAGACAAGCTGGGTTTGTTTCCACTGGAGTTTGGAAGTGTGAGGGGTGACTTGATTAAAGGCTTAATGGCCTTGATAAAGTGGACAGGGAAAGTATGTTTCCTCTGTGAGTCAGTCCAGAACTAGGGGGCACTGTTTAAAAATTAAGGTTTGCCCTTTCAGGACAAGAGTTGAGATTTTTTCTATCCCAGAGGGTGGAAGATTTTGAAGCTCTCTGCCTCAGGTGGTGGAGGCAGGGGCATTAAATATTTTAAAGACAGAGGTGGATAGATTCCTGTTAGACACGGAAATCAAGAATTATTGAGGGGGGTAAATTGTCATGTGAAATTCAAAATACATACAGGTCATCCATGATCTCATTGAATAGCACAGTGGACTTAAACTTGTGCTCCTATGTTTGTATGCTCATAGTTCTCGATCTAAAGCTGGCACCACTTGCTTCGGTCTGCCTGAACACAGATTAAAGAGTGTTGTGTTCATGTGTCACTTTTGACATACTGAAAATTAAAGATTAGTTGAGTGTCAGAACAAACAAAGCGTGCTGAAATTGTGATGTCTTCTTCAACTTACTGAATTTCTCAAACTCTCGGTTAAATTCATCAAACAAAGGCTTCAGTTTGGGTAGCCGATCTTGTTCTTCGCCCAGGGCAAACACGAGCTCTCCCATCTTCCAGACATCTTTGTGACTAGTCATTTGTTCCATCAGAATGTTTGGTCTTTGTTCAGATGGGGTTACAGCTAGCACCTTTATTTCTTCTTTACTTAAAGCTTTTCTTGAAAGCAGCTTTTGAGCAAAGTTGAGGAGATTTTCCATATCATAAAGTATCTGAATTATAACATTTTTGTAGCTATACAGGAAGCACAGGCTACACTGATCACCTAAAAAAGAAGAAAATAACTGTTTGTACGCAAATCAGGTTTATTAGGAAATCTCATTCAGGAGGTGAATGGCCTCCACTAGCCATTCAAAAGGAGCTTGCAGCTCATCATCAGACAATTGTTCAGAGGGAGTATGACTTTGCAACTCAGTCTCTGAAAAACTGCATCAATTTTTGCCATTGTTTGGAACAAATTGCCTGGTCTTAAACCAAACAAGAAAAATGAGATTAAAAAAAGAGGATTCCTAAAATAGAAAGGAAAAATTAGATATGGCAAAATAGACTGTTAATTCACCACTAGCCGAACTTGCATGGCTGGTATTAACCAATTACAGATCCTGAGCCAATTAGAAAACATTAGAGCAGATGAATGTTTTTAAAAACCTGCTACTTTAGGAAACTAAATGGGTTGAAATAGTGAGCACCACTAGTATCAAAGTACAAGAAAAAAATAAAGTGAAGTGATAAAAGCTGTCACAACAGAAATCTCAAAACAGATTATGTCACAATTATCACTGATATCAAGGAAACAGAAGCTAGGGAAAATTCTACAGCTGGTAACAATATTGCTTTTAATGGTAATGGTGTTTTAGAATGAAAGACTGCTGTGAAATCAGATTTAAGATTGACATGGCATTTTGCAAGAAGGAAGGCATGAACATAGGCATGACCCAGATAAAAAATAAGTCTGCAGAAATCATCCGGAAACAGGAGGAAAAGCATCCTGACCACCTGGTTTGAACCTTCATCCTGAAAGGTTTCCAAAATCCACTTACACCAAAAGTGTTATTCTATTTAAATAATTAGTTCAGTGGAGGTCTTTAAACTAAGGTCAGCTCAGCACAGGGAAAATTAAAACTCTAATCTTACCCAGTTCCAAAATATGAGTTATCCATTCCTTTAGTTCTGGGTGATTAGAAAGATTCTCATCTTTAAACGGCATTAAAAATTGTCGGATTTTAAAATTGCAATTCCACTCTAAAACATGGTTTACAATCATTTCTGCAGCAATTTCACTGTTTTTCTCCATAAATGCTTCTTTCAAATTACAACTGATTATTAGTTCAGGTATTTTTCCAGTTTCAACAATTGCACTTTCAATCAATTTTCTTTTCATAGCGATTTCATGGAACAAGCGACATTTATCTGCAAAAAGCAACAGAATTTGGTAGATTTTAATCATTCATTAAAAGTCACATTCATATTTATATATGTATACATTTGTCAAGTAGACAGTATTTGAAAACCCAACATTTTACGTTTTCGTTGGAACATACTGTGATAGATAATAATATCAACAACACCCCAACAGAGGTATCATACTGCTTCAGCATAAAGGCTAAATTTAGGATTATCATCTTGTACATCTTTATGATCTCTTTTATAAAAATTATAATCTTTAATATCTTTAAAAACTCTGTTTTTATTAAAGCATAATTTCCCCAAATTTCCCCAAATTTCCCAAAGAGTTGCAACACTCTTTGGTAAATCATAACTCATTTGATATGCATACATCTTCATCTGCATGATGGAAATTTATAAAGGGAAATATTTAATATTCTGTTTAATATGCAATGAGCAAATTTCCTGGTAATTTCTACAAATTTCCAATAATGGTATCTGTAGTAAGAGTACAGAAACAATAGCTATTTGTACCACAGTGACAGATAAGATAATTTTGCCTAGCCCTCCATACCTAAGGAAATGAAAACTACGCCTTTTACATAATAAATGATAAATAATGAATGTAATGACTGGGCAAAATGTTGATCCTAAAAGCATGTTTAAACAAATTCCTAGTCGTTATTTGAAGTATAGTATGATATATGACATTTAACTAATGTTATGGAAGAAACTATTGACCACCTACTCGTGGAATTTAGCTTTGCAAAAAGGTCTGGACAGCGAGAGATACAATGGCTTTTTGTCAAAGTTCAACACAGGCAGCCCTCCAGAGATCCAGGGGCAGAGTGGAGGTAATGGTATTGACAAGATTGTATACAAAGAGCCGGTATGGACTTGCTGGTTTGAATGGCTTTCTACTGTATTGCAATAACCACATGATTGTAGTGCACAAACATAAACAGAAATTGCTAGAGAAACTAAAAAGGTATGGCAGCATCAGTTCAGAGAAAATAGAGTTAATGTGCTAATCCAGTGTCCCTTCTTCAGTTCTACAGATGCTGCCAGACCTGGTGAGTTTCCCCAGCAATTTCTGTTTTTGTTTGTTTTAGATCTCCAGCATCCACAGTTCTGTTTTATTTTTATGATTGTAGCGTGCTCGTCATTGGATGATTATAAGCTTTCTTTCATTAACATGTAAAAATACGATACCACATGAGAGGAGTTTTACATGACACGAATCTTCTTCCAACATTATTAAATCATAAAAAATATATTTTGGTTCTGTCTTCACAAAGGAGGACATAACTCACATCCCAAAATTGTTGGGGAACACATGGTCTAGTGATAGAGAAGAACTGAAGGAAATTAGTATTAGTAGAGAAATGGTATTGGGGAAATTGATGAAATCAAAGGCCGATATATCAAGGCATGATAATCTACATCCCAAAGTACTTAAGGAAGTGGCTCTGGAAAGAGTGGATGCATTGGTGGTCATCTTTAGAGATGCTATAAACTCTGGAACAATTCTATGGATTGGAGGGTAGCTAATGTAACACCACTATTTTAAAAAGGAGGTCAAGAGAAAACAGAATTGTAGACTGGTTAGCTTGACATCAGTAGTACAGAAAATGCTAGAGTCCATTGTTAGAGATTTAATAGCAGAGCACTTGGTGACAGGATTGGACAGTGCTGGCATAGATTTATGAAAGGGAAATCACGCTTGACAAATCTATTGGAATTATTCAAGAATGTAACTAGGAGACGTTGTTTACTTGGACTTTCAGAAAGTATTTGAAAGGATCTCCCATGAGAGATTCGATGTGAATGGGATTGGGGCTGGGGTGGGA